CCCCAAAACCCCAAAACCCCAAAACCCCAAAACCCCGTAAGATATGAATTATTCATAATTAGTAGAAAATAAATAATTTTATTATTTAATGGAAACACTGTAATTATGAACTTTATCTTACATTAAGAATAGATAGCAAGAATAATCGTAGGAGAAGATTGAAGAGAAGTCTAAATTGATTAGTCTACCATAATCACTAGTATTTTTCAGCTAAGATTTGTAAGTATAGAATGTAAGGTAAACAAATTAGATCTAATGCAAGTTAAAGTGGGAGCACTCTTAAGAGTATCATAAATTCAATTGATATTTCATTCTTCCTGATTCCTTATGTGTTCGCAAAGCAAGGACTCTTTATAGCTATGTTTTTCATTATAGAGTTCTAGATATTCAGTTTTTTAGCTTGTAGAGCGTTGAATGAATCAGCCTAGATATTTTAGAAGAAAAATAACTCTGCAGGGAGTGTTACAATTTTACAATTAATTGAGCATAATTTCAAAGATAACAAGCTTCAGATGATCTATTTTATAGTACTTGTATACCTATTCTTGCTATTCCAGTCAATTCTAAGTATTGGCATGATTTGCAAAATAAGCCTGATAATGATTCATATTTTCATTGAATATAAGGTACTTATAGCACTTTTACCTCTATTTGTTGTACTTTTCACAAGCAATAGATTAAGCATCAGAAGTGCCACCATTTAAATTAAATTCATAGTCCTCTTGAGTATCTCCATTTTACTCTACCTTAGTATTAATGTCTTATACTAAAGCTCTGCTAGAAATATCGTACTCTATACTTATGATATTGACGATACTTTTGGAATTCTGAGTACTGGATTAGTTCTACCAATGATTGCAAATTTGGAATATTAAAATTCAAGAGATTAATCAGATAAAAGCGATACTTTCAATCTGATTAATCTTGTCATAAAAGTAATTTTTGGTTGTACTTTAATCTGTAATTTGGGTTCAAATAGTATTAAAAAAGATCCTATCTTAATGATGAAAAGTCCTTAAGTCATTTAGATAATGCTTGGATTTTTTGTTATATTCTTGATCTATAAAAATGTTCAGAAGATTTATGATTATACATGGAATATATTGAAAGAAAAAGTTGATGAGAAGGGCTTTATCAAGACAAATGTAAACTTTACTATAATAATCATCGGAATTATAATAGCTAATATTAGTCTCAAATAGATGATAAATGTGCTTAACTATTGCAGCATGTTTATTCACTTTCAATTCATCACGATTCTTCCATTCACTCTTTACTACAGATCTCTATGCTAGATAGAAACTATTACCCAAGAGGAATTGGTTGAAACTTTTAAAGTAGACTCTGAATAATATGGAATAATGGATGATTAATAGCACGAAACAATATTATTAAAATCTCAGATTTTGGATTCTGTTGAGAGAGTATTTCCCTTTAAACTGATTAGAGATTACTTAACTCAAAATGATGAGAATAAAGCCAAATTATTGCCTTTGGGATTAGTATCTTCTGGATTCAAAACTATTACTGTGATGCTTTGCCTCTCAATTTACTCTATTATCATTCAAATTTGATTTTTAAAAATATTTTCACATACCTTCGATGCAACACGGGGTTTTGGGGTTTTGGGGTTTTGGGG